CTCCCAATGTATCTAGTCAGAGCAGAAAAAAAATGTTATTCAGCCAGTTAGAAAAGTACTAAAGAAAAGGTAGAGGAGAACAGGATGAAACATGTTTTAAAGTCAGCAACAACTCACCGCAGAGACACGCAAAGTCTTCAGGGTGAGCGTAGGTGAGAAGAGCAGCGAGAGCTTCTTTCCAGTTGTCTAGTTCGCAGCTCTGCACGATGTCTCTCCAGTTCTGGGTTAACACTGATGATATAAGCTGGACAACAGGACAAGATAAATCAGATTATCACGTTAATATATATTTAGTTGCAAATTAGCAGACGGGATTTAATCCAGTTGGTGCAACGTGCGTTCTCTCACCATAGAGATGCTGTTCTTTTGTCTGCTCAGGTATTTTTGCTGAGTTTTCTTGAGCAGCTCTTCGCCGCCGCTGATGGACAGAAGGATGGCTTCAGCGTAACGGCCGTCATTCAGACACAAATCAACCGCTCCCTCAAAGTTACCAACCAACAGAGCTTGGCTGATCAGCCCATCAGTATCTTCAAAACAAACAAATACATGCAGATTTAGTTTATTAGAATACCCAAACAACAAACTGTATTTTAATAAAAGAATGATTTTTTTTACCACATGACACAGGAATCTGGAAGTTTTCATTCGGTGTCTGATTAAAGAAGTCTGCAGGTGAAACAGAGCCTGAAGTTTGAGCATCACCTGCAGCTGATTCATCAGACCTCTGGAATATGACAGAGAGTACTTCAGTGTAAAGGAGCCACAAATAACTATTAGCATTAGGACAGGATGATATCTCATTCTTGCTAACCTCTGTGGAAAGTCGCTGCATCTTTTCTGCCAAATCTTTGGCATCCACCCCATGTCCATTGGGTTGAAAATTTTTACCCAGGCATTTTGAAATCTGAACAGAGAGGGATCATTTTTCACAACTACTGTATATGAAGTTAAAGTGACGATGAATTAGTTAAGGAATACCTTTCTGTCCAATTCATCTTTGCTGAAACCCAACAGTCTGAGGAATTTGATCCGAGCCTCATCCTCAAAATTCACCTGTGGTGAGTGAAAGTCAGTTCCTTTAGCACCAGGGCATTACAACTGCATTTCTGAACATCATTACACACGTTCCTACCAGAAGGAACTTCCATATGTCCTGCTCAGCGTCTGACTTGGCGTTTTGAATCTTGGCCTGGCAGTAGTTGTTGAAGGAACCCGCCTGCAGCGCCGCCTGAAGCTCCCTGGAGCGTTGGAGGAACTCTGTCTCCGTGGTAACCTGGCTCACAAACACCTGCCTGGGGACAGGCTGAGGGCTCTGCAACGGAGGCAGCTTAGGATTCTCAAAGGTGATCAGCTTTCCACCGAACTGGAAAAAGACAAAAACAAACAAACGTCAGGTGTACAGGGTAACAAAATATTTGACACTGACTTGTCAACCATGACTCTTAAAAAAAACAAACACTCACTGCGAATGAAGCGCCAACTGGCCTGCGTACCCACTTGGGGGGTTTCTTTAGAGGAGGAATGATGGTGTCCTTAGCTGTGGGCTGAGGGACCTGTAGAGGAGGCAACACCTGCCCTGTACCAAAGGGATCCATTGTATCAAATGAGGAGGAGATCTGTTAAAGAAATGTCAAAAACAAGCATTGACCCTTGAGGTTAGTGAAAAACAGCAAACACAATTTGGTTATTATCACATTTATTATAGTTATTATTGTCATTGTTTATTATAAAATTGTGATTATTGATTTAATTCAATAAATGTGTTATTTATTCATAGGTATAAAAAAAATAATCAGCCACTAAATCAGCCTTATTTAAGTTAGTCCCGTTAGGTTATGTCCGGTCAGCGCCATCTTTTGGACAGACCTCGCATTGCACGTTGCGAAAATTAAGACGGTTGAGTTTGTGAATGATGCATTGGATGCAGTTTGTCAATTATGTTACATATAGCAACACAGTTGTTAAAAGCAAAGCAAATGAATACAGCGTGATAGAAAACCTGGTTGTACCTTATCAACCGTGCCTTGCTGCTGGGCTTTCAAGCTCCCTCCCATCACAGAATACACAGTGATTCTCCCATCGAATGAAGCCGTGGAAAGCAGCGCCGGATTCCTGGGACACCACTGGACATCAAAACACCACTGATTTGTGGTTGGCAGCTCATAGATCACCTACATCCAAAGAAAAAAACAATTCACAATTTTTGAAATCATCATCACCAAGTCAATAACCAGGAGGGACAACTAAGTAACTACCTCTCCAGTGTTCGGATTCCAGCACAGGATCCGGTTATCCTTAGCGCTGCTCAACAGGAGCTCTGAGTCAGCCTGGCTCCAGGATATTGACAGAATACCCCTATAGAACACCAACAGAGGTGAAATTCTTTTTCATTCTTTCTAAAGAAAACAAAAGGTGCACAACAACACCTCAGGCTCAGGGTTCAAACTCACCTTGTGTGGTTCTCAAAGACTTTGAGAGGTGACGTAGCGAAACGAAGATCCCACATCTGGATGACTGGCAGTCGGTCATCTTCAGAGGCCAGCACCAACTGAGTGGCCACATCTGGATGCCACAACATTCCTGAGCAGTGCATCTGATTTAATGACACGAGAGACCAGGAATAAAAAAGAGAATTTCTTTCAAGTACATTGTAAAAAGTTTTAAATAAGGTCATGCCACTGAAACTCAAGAGTAATCAAACATATGAAGAAAGTGACATTACTGCCCATTTTTTCACTCTAACTGCTCAAAAGCCATTATAATATGTTACGTTATTATTATGTAATAGACATGTAGAGGTTTGAGGTTTTCAGTCTACCAACCCTGTTGCTGTGGTCGCTGATCTTGATGATCGGCTCGTTCTTTCTTAGGTCCCACACGACAGCTTTCCCACTGGGGTTGGCAGATGCCAGAATGTGCTGCACCTGTCTGTTCCAGGACACGACACTGATGTCTTCAGTTGGCTGTAAGAGGACAGAATACACAATCTTTTCCCCCTTGTTTTCAAAATCATCATACAAAGTCAACTTGGCTTTTTTATATTTAAAAAAAAAACTGTCCATTTTATTTCCCAATTTTGAACCTACCTGTGTCTTCGCTCCAGGTGTCATTGGACTGCTCAGGTTGTTTAAATCCCAGATGTAGATCTCTGAATCATTTGCCCCTGATGCCAGGAGGTTATTCTAAGAAACAAAACAAAGAAATTAATAACACTGTTCATTTTAAAAACTGCACTGTTAAAACTAACATCAAGAACCACAGACATTTACCTGAAATGGGTTGAAGTCAAGAGCTCGAACCGGCCCTGTGTGTTTGTCAGACTGTCCCACCACGGCCTCTGCCCCAGAGATTATTCCTTCTGGATCATACACAGTTACCAAGCCATTTTCACTGCCAGCAACTATTCTTCCTCCGGTACCTTCGCCATAGTTCACCCATACGATACTATGCAACCTGTGTCACACAATAAGAATGCTTTAAAAAAACAAACAAATAACATACACTGTCTATATGCCTTACTGTACTGTGTTAAGTGACTCTAAGAACAGATACGTTTGTATTGAATTACCTATTTGAGGTAGGCAAGGACCCTTTTAATTGCATGTCCATAGAGGGGTCAGAAAAATCCATCTCAAAGATCTCCAGGGCAGCTGTGGTGTTAAAGGAGGCATCCAGCTGTTCTGCTGATGTTCCCAAGGCCAGGTAGATGGGATGATGTCCTGCAGGACTCCACGCCTGGTGAGCAGTCCTCTGAATCTCCTTTAGCCTCATTTTCCTCCCTTTCCTAGTTTCAACTCGTGGACATAAAACCAAACTTCAATCAAGCAAAGTCACTACACTTTGATGTACGCTCTCTTAAAGAGAGAGGGGAAGAAATGCTAGTGTTTTTATTGAATGACAGGAAACTTTCACTGCCCCAAATGCAAAAATTGAATGAACTGTAGCACCCTACAACAACAATACAAATTCATGAATTTGGCAGACATTTATTACTAACATTATAAATGTTTAATTTAACGAAACAAAAACAACAACTACAAAATATCTGTGTGACTATGGTCAAACACAGTTATGGCAAAATGTACCAAGTATGGTAGCCAGTTAAGTCTATTTGTAACTCAATTTCTCAAATGCTAAAGTACACCTAAACACCATTAGTCATTTTAAAAGGATATGTGAACAAAAAGACAAATGCGTTATAATGGTCAATTTTGAAGCATTATTTTTTCTGCCTCTACACTGTACTTAGTAAAAGACCACACACGCACATATATAGATATCATTAGGAATCATGGTGATTTTTAATGTTTGGTCAGCAATCTTTCATTTATCATGACTTCTATCAAGTTGATAGTACAGTATAACTGTGCCTATTGTAGCTTAAGTGTCTCATCAAACGCACTTCTTGTTTAACAGAACCAGATCGTCTCAAGCCATAACCAAATCACCTTGATGTTATTTTGTATAAGTTTGCGACCCCACCTTATTCATCAGGGAAAATAAGTCTAACTTAACCCGCAGGTTAGCCTTTCAAATTCCATCGAATAGCCAAAGCCGTTGTTGCTAGGAGCTAGCAGGCTAGTAACCAGCCACCACCCTTTAAATTAGTCTGTAAATAAAACGGTATTGTGGACGTTTTTTATATAAATAAATATCATGTTCATGTAAAAAATAACTGTAACTCACGTCAACTGTCTAACACACCCCGATTGTCCACGTTCACATGAAAATGGGAATCTATTAAGGAACCAACAGCGTTAGCAACTGGTGAAACCTGACCAAAGTGCTCTGCCGTGTTGTCACTGCACTACGGCATCCGACGAGGACCACAATTCATTAGTAGTCGCCTAATTTAACCTCATTGGCGCCGCCACAGGTGAGTTAACAAAAGATACGATCTATTACACGGTTGTATATAATGCGTTTCTTGATGTTGATGCAATTTAAACAGGTGAAAAAAAAAAAAAACCAACAACAACAACAAACAAACACAGCCTTCCAACGTCGGAATAAACTTTTAATTAGGGCAGAAATATAAACAGTTTGTATAAGATTATTGTCTTCAGATTTCGTAATGTTTTTCTTCCTCTGGTTGTTTTTCTGGATCTCCTCCTTTCTCTATATACAGGCCATTGTAGGGATACTGTTTCGGGAGCTGCAACACATACAAAATAAAAAGCTTACTTTTCGTTGGTTATACTGCTATATCACTGAAATATCACAATTTTGATCACCCAATTTACATGCCTTGCATTACATTAATATAATTAACAATTGATTTCCACCTGGAAATATAAAATAAGCTGATGAATGATATTTTTAAACTTAGCTATCAGAAAAGTCTTATGGGATTGCTGTGCAATGGAAGTGTCATTACATAATTTATTGTGACTTTTTTGGAACACACAAACATATTGAAGAATATTATTGTGCTTACAACAGGTGTGTAGGACTTGAAATTCTCTCCGAGAATGAACAATACCAACATGAACCCAAGAAAACCCCACAGCTGTTTGTTCATTTTACGCCAGGGCAAAACAGTGGGAGAAGTATCCACACGGGTCCTGATGTACATGTCAAAATTCCAGTGCATCTGAAAGAGCAAAGAGAAAAATCACAAGTTCGCAAGTAGGCAATATAATACATATTTAGTCAACAAATTATTTTTTAGACCTAACAATATTAAGACAACCGTAAACTGAGGCAATGTCGTTGAATGTAAAGGTATATTTCACAAACTGCACCTCCAGTTTTTGTGCAACCTCATACTAAAAAGCATAATTTTCCTCTGCAGTTATAGATGCAGGTAATTAATACAGTCAACCTTAAAATAAGCTTATAAGTTAAGGTTCAAATTTATGTGTAAAATATAATATATAATATTATTAATATAAATATAATAATAATATTGGCAGCTGGTGGACTCCAACCCGAAGCCTTCCGGACCCAAATCTGCTTCCTTAACCACTAAGCCACCACTGCCCCAGACTCATAGACTCATATGACCAAGCACATTCATAAAAGTGCCAACTTACAGAAGATATTGCACTACACAATGTTACTCAGAGTCAGATATTAAAAATTAGATGATAAATACATCTAAATAAATTTCTTTTAATTTTTCTGATAAAAGACCACCAACTAAATATTTTTAAATCTTATGTTTGTTTGTTTTGTTTGGTTGTTTATTGCAGAACTCTGCCATGCAATAACAGTATAATTTTGTAAAACATGTCACTCCAGCCATTTATAGTAATACGTATATATTTGATACAGATTTAATGGTTATTGAATTGTAAGACTGATCAAACACTCACTGGTTCTCCCCAGTTCCTCCGCAGATCAGGATGGTCCCATGTGTACCAAGGGTCTCGTTCGTGCTGAGATCTATCTGGAAGATGAGGGTAGTCACCCGTGCTGGAAAACGATGACACTTGATGAGATGGGTGCAATGTTTAGTGCAATGACTATTATATGAACAAAATGAAATGCAGTGATATTAAAAAATAAAGGTTACCCGTCGCCGTTGTCATCATAGGGTTTATAGTCGTGAATCGTCATGTTATATTTCGCTGCAGCAGCAGCTCTCTCCTCGGGAGTTTTGACATAAGGACCGGGAAGAGTGTCCTTACCCATACTTGAGCCTAAAAACAAATACATGTTGTTTTTTTTCACCTATGATATGTAGAGGAAGTAATGTTATTCTATGATCCCTCTAACGTTGACTGAGGCCATTCAATTAGCAAAGGCTAACATTAGCGTGTCAAGGTTACATCCATTTGGGACATCGTACTTCATGTATAGACAAAATTAACTTCAGTAAGTAGCACAAGGCATTTAAATAACTGACCAGCTCTACATCCCGACAGAGACAACGAAACTCCACAGCTGCGCCGAGAACGGAGAGCCTGGGCCAAACGTCGGAAACCGACACCAGCCATATTTACAATCCACTGCTCCCTGGCAGAATTTTATTGCGCATGCGCAAAGATTCGCAAGGGCCCATTTGTTGACCCGAGAAAACTTTATATGTCGCCACCTACTGTACCGGATGTTCAATGAAAGAAAGAAGCAGAACGTTCTGTGATATGACTGTTTCATTTGGAAAAAATGCATTTTTTCCAAATGAAACAGAAAGAATTCCGACTGCCGTAAATATGAATACCTCAGAAAAAGAGAAAGAAAAGAAAGAAATTACACATGCTGCAAGATTTCTTTTCAGTTTCTCTGTGATATCTTTTGGCAGCCTAAAACCAAACTACTTATGACATTTTAATGCAGCCTGACCTCCAGAGTTCACATCTGTAGTATTTTTGAGATGCCTATAAAATGAAGAAATGTAAATAATCAGTCACAGGAAATACTTGATATGTTACACATGATTTATTGATATACACTCAAACAGAAGGACTTTTGCTTGTTTTGGAGTGACCTCACTGGTTATATTGACACTTTCACTCAGATTAATGTTTTAAACACAGCAATACAATTACATTAAAAGTGAAAACCATAAATATTTGAATATTTATTTTTATTGTATTTTTTGCCAAGCAAATTCTTTGATAGAAAGAGTGACAGAACAAGGGAAGTACTCTGGTGGCTGAAGGGAATTTCCTCAGAGTGAATGCACTAAATCTCCAGTCCAATTCCTCTTCCATCAGATCCAGCTCAGGTGCACATTTGCATTTACTGGGGGATCGTCACTTTGCCACGCTTGTTAAACTGGAGAAAGTTACTCATAGCATTTGCAGTATGTCCTCTTCCACTTTCTTGATGGGAGAGTGAAGGTCGTACCTGCATTAACATTGAAAGCATCACTGTGAAGCATAACTATGAAGTCATATTCTTACTACCCCAATGGAGTAGTTGTTTTCGTTTCCCCGTTTCACCTTACCTTCTAAAGGGCAGACCATCTGCAGTAATGAGAAACTTTTCAAAATTCCATGGAATGTCACTGACTTTGATTGGGGACCAATACAATTTCTTGATGTCTCCAATAACAGGGTTTACAAATGGCAAAGATTCCTGAGATTAACAAGAGATTACGGTTGTGACATGGTTTAACTCTGACAATTCAAGCATATAATTACAAAATAATTCTAATCCCACACAGGCGACATTACCTTAAGGTAGGCAAAAAGAGGGTCTTCATTTAATCCATTCACCTCCACTTTGCCAAAGACAGGAAACTTTGGCACAAAACCACCGCCAGGTCTCACATACTTTAGTACGTTAAGGGTTTCATGATTGGCCTCTGAAAAATAACTAATTTGGTTAATCCACAATAAATATATATACATATATTTTTATTAGATATGTTGAATCCTTAAATGGCGGAAATGCAATTTTTACTTTTTTCCCACATTTTGTCCAAGATAATTCTAATATAGAAAACCCCTGGTTAAACATGCATGTCATATTGTCAGACTAAACAAAATTGGAATTATTCAGTCAGTGAGGTCCAGAGGTATTTCAAGTAACTTGTCAACATTACAAAGGCCTAACTGTACGATACATACCAGGTGACTGAAGACCAAATTGGTTGCAGGAGAATCCTAAGACAGTAAAGGTATTGTCGCCAAACATTTCCATCAGTGCATTCAGTCTGTGGTACTAAAAGAAAGGACACACAAAAGAAACAAACATTTCTGTCAGCGATATCACGTCATGTGTAATGGTCACCTGTGTGATCTTGCTGTAATCAGAATGGGGCTGCCGTAAAATATTACCTCCTCTATCGTTGACCCTCAGAAGGTTGCAACGTTGACAATGAGCAGGACCTTACCCTTATATTTGCTGAGCGGAACCTGCCGTCCATCAAGGGTCTCCGCAGTAAAATCATAGACTGATTTATCCGCCATGCCTGTGCTTTAGCTTGTTTAATAGGACTGCTGTCAGTCAAGAGAGAGCATTCACTCAGCTATCCTGTTGACCCATCTCATTCACTCTACCATAACTCATGGGTCAGCAGTTGTTCCGCATGAATGACTTCATTGTTGTCCTGGACATAGGTGAACTGGATAGATAGTTCAGACAGTTCTTTTACACGTGCACATCAGGTGTGTGTAGCTGTGAATGAAAGAGTGGACATTTTTTTCCCTATTAAATATATTACATAGTTTATCATTTCCTCCATTTCACATCCATTTTAAGTCTAAACATGTTCTTTTATATTAAAATTAGATAAATAAAAACAATAAAAATATAGTGCCTGCCTTACCTACTACGAGTCCCAGTACTGTATGCTATATATTGGAATTGTACAAATAAAGCAAAAATCAATTTGCTAAACTATAACAATTACTATCCCCAGTTTAAATATTATTACTTGTGTAACTATTAACAGGGGACAACATTGTATGCTTTTCAAATGAACACCCTATTTAAAATGACGTATTACAAGATTTGTGTTTATATTATTTATTACTTCACAAATTACATTTTAAAAATACAAATAAGAAAAAATAGTGACCACCCTTAAATACGTGATTTGGGATAAGTTAACTGGCATTTTAGAAGCTCGGTTATTATTTCATTTCATTTTGTTTCGCTGATTGTTATCTATTTACACGTGCGTTTTAATGTTTCACGCCTGGGTTGAAAATTGCACATACCCGGAAAGCACAAAATGGGGCGTTAACAGTTTCCCGTTTATTTTGGTACTATATTTAAATTTGACCTATAATATTTTGAATACTAATTTTGAAGCAATATTACGGTATGTTAGATACCATTACAATAACTTATATCGCTGTGGTTTTAAAAGACACTTAATTTGAAAATGAAAATGGCCATATGCGTTGTAATGGCTACGAATAAAACATTTATATAACACAATTTAAATTCAGGCTGATTTTTTAACCTTTTTGAGCTGTGTTATAGTTCTTTATTTTGTAAAAAGTGAAAAAATAATGATTAAAATAAGGAAATAATCATAAAGCAAACTTGCAGCAGTTGAAGCTGTTTGTTCCACCAGCACCTGAAGACGGCATTGGGTTTGGACAGCACTGCACACAGACGCCCACAAAATGCTATGGAAAAAAGCGTTTTTCTGGGTCATATACGAAAAACAACACTTGCTCAGAGACTACATTTAATGCAGCCGATTCATTATGGACGAAGAAGCTAGACTTCGAAGGTAAGACTACTTTATATTAAGTTTTTAATTAAGCTCTGCCGGCAAACTAGCTTCGATGCTAACTGCTACAACTACCAAGGCATGGAACTGCTCACTCTGTTTCTCAGGATATTTACTCCTCCCCAAACACGGGTATGATTTGTACGATTTCAAAGGAAAATATGAAAAGATCTTGCGTTCTTTAATGGCTCTATCTATATCTGCAGTGTTTTTACAAGTGTGCATTGTCAAGGTCCAGTTGTAAATGCCTCGGTTTGCATTTTCCCAGCATATGTCATCTGTTCGATCTGCCCTGGGAAGATGTGCTTATTCCACACATACTTTGTTATCTGCCACTGCAACATCTGGTCAGTCTGCAGAGGGTGAGCAAGCAGTTCCACAGCCTCATCCAGGTGTACCTGACAAACTGCAGGACTTTTGATCTGTCTCAAGTAAGTCTTGCAGAAATTATATTCCAAAGCATTTCACCTTGCAGAAAAATATCAACTTCATAGAGCTGCACAGATTTTGAAGTTTTGGTCCAATGCAATGTCACAGTTTGAAATAAGAATCTGTCCAATGACAGACACACATCAGTAATGATTTATTTTTTGCATGCATGTCTAAAATATCTTGTATTGTTTCATAATTTTCTCACATTTTCCATCACGTCACCATGCATGTTTTGTTTCCAGAAAACTAAAGAAGATTCAGTGTGAATAAATATGACCTTTATATGTTTTTAAATAGCTTTCAAAAATTGACAGTTTGGTTGATGTTTCTGTGCATCTTCACAAGATATTAATGTTTGCATAATATAATTTCATGTTATGTTATACTATGTCTATTCATAGTTTAAAGCATCAATTTCTCTTAATGATCTACAATATTTCTGGTGATAAATTGCTTGATCTACTCCCTTTTGGCATTGCAGATTGAACTATGTATTCCTAAGGAAGCATTTTGTTCGTTGTTGAAGAACTGCAGGGCTCTTCAGAGCCTGTCGCTTCATAACTGCACAGACTGGGTGACAGACAAGGATCTGCTGCCAATTATAGGCCAGAACCAGCATCTGCAGAGGGTGGACATGAGCGGGTGTGCTTGGCTCACCCGACATTCTCTGGTGGCAGTGTCTCTGAGCTGCACGCAGCTTCAGCACCTCGGCCTGGCACACTGTGAGTGGGTGGACAGCCTGTCTTTGCGCAGCCTGGCAGACCACTGCGGGGGGCTGCTGTCCATAGACCTCACCGCCTGCCGTCAGCTCAAGGATGACGCCATCTGCTACCTGGCCAGGAAGTGTGTGAAGTTGAGGTCTCTATCTCTGGCAGTCAATGCCAATGTCACTGATGAGTCTGTGGAAGAGGTGGCCAAAAACTGCAGGGGTCTGGAGCAGCTGGACTTGACAGGCTGCCTGAGGGTCAGGAATCCGTCCATAAGGTATATTACTTACTTTCAGGTATAATCCAACAAAGTTTGCCGAACACTTTTACCACTCATCATCTGATTTCTGAATCCACCAATAATGATCTTTGCATGCTGCGCTCACAGAACCATTGCAGAGTACTGCACAAAGCTCCAGTCGCTAAAGGTGAATCACTGCCACAATGTGACAGAGACCAGCCTAGATCGCCTACGCCAGCGCAATGTAGTGATAGACGTAGAACCACCTTCGCAGAGGGCTCTGGTACTTCTGCAGGATGTCCTGGGCTTTGGCCCCTTCATCAATCTCCAGATTTAACCACAGGTGCCTCTACCTCTCCATCACAGGTATGTATCCCCTGGCAGTGTTTCCCCCACATGTCTCGCACTCACACCCTGTGGTGTGTACCATGCCTAAGAGTTTTTTTTACCCCCTACTGTCTGGATTCTATGGCTAGTATAAATGCAAATATTCACTTTGGCCCACTTCCCTCCTACACCGCGGTCGGTTCAAGGTGTGTTGCACCAAAACGCTATTTGATAAAACAAATAAAAAATAATTATATTGTGACCAATAATCAATTAACCTTAAGAATGCCATGTACTTTTAATGTATTCTGTCTTATGTCCATATATACAGTGGCATCTTCTCTGCATTCAGTATCCAAAAAGGGTATTGTTTTCACCTCTAAGTGTTTGTTTCTGTGTGCCTGCATAATAAATTCTGCATGGACGGAATATCACCAAAGCAAAAAAAACCCAAAAACACTCTCATTCTCACAGTCTCTGAAACAGTATGCAAAGATGGCTTTGGAGCGAAATGGGTATAATAGTAAAGTTAAATCTGCCATATCCTTTCACAAGTCAAAAAATGATACTTATGCATAAATATCACTAATGAACTATTCATTCTCTATAGTCTAATCAAAGTGGTATGGCAGGTTTTCATTGTTGTAGACGACTCAAAAAAACGACTCCAATAACTTTCAAAATTTTACATCATACCTGCAGGTTTTACTTCTCTCCTTCTCTTCTCTCAATACGGTCTGTTTGTTTTTAGAGAACAATCTTTCCAATGTAAAGTTGAAATGCACTGTTTACAAGGTACGTTGTTGACCTCGTAGTAAGAAAACATCACTTCGGAAACAGTTTAATTAAGCACTTTACTTTTTGTGTGGTTTGCAAACACAAGAGAGTGGTTTATCTATTAAAAATGCCATGCAGCAACTGTTAATTTATATTTTGCTTATCTTTTATCCTTGTCTGATGTGTGTAGAAAGTCTCAAAATGTGTTCAAATAATTTCACGTAACCAAACGTTACAAGCATATAAATAAGGCATTAAACTGTAAACTACAACACCATCGTAAGGGGTCGTCATGATTGTTTTCTTTTTATTGCAGTTTTGTGATAAGTTAGTTTGCTTTGTTGTAGGTGGCCTAGTTTCTTCCAGCCTATTTTGGTCTATAGAGTGTACTGTTTGGCTGTACTTCGTACTCTAAATATTGCCACTTGCTTTGGTTTCTATTTGTTCTTCCTCTTTTGTATGCATCAGCAATTATCTTCTCATGCAAAGTTGTCTCGTCTAATTTAGGTTTTGTGACAGTACTTTATACTGCAAACTACGTACAAGTATACCTGAAAATGATCACATCTGACATTAAACCTGAGCAAAGATATTTTTTCAGGTCATAAACTAAAACCGAAAAAATTGTAGTTTTATTAAAAGACTATTGGATCTTAAATAATGAAGTAGTGCCCAAAATTATAAAACAAAAAGCTACTTATGATTAAACTGAAGAAAATAAAACATTGTATGATTATGATTAAACTGAAGAAAATAAAACACATTTCTCTATGACTGCACTAATTGTGTGCACGAAATTGCGTGACATTATAGAAAAATGACACAAGGTGGCGGCAGTGGGTTGGTGTAATGAGATTTGAAGCTTTGTTTTGTAGCTGCAACGTGTTAGTATCTATCAAACACTAAAAACTTCTCTTTTTTATTGCTCTTGAATAAAAATGCCAAGAAAATCTACAGGATTTAGAGAATAATAGTTGTGTGTTGGGTTTGGCTGGATGAAAAATAAACTCAACTGGTTTATGCTTGATTCAGCAGCACTACAGTAACACTACTTTCTCTGTTGCCAAAGCCAGGTGTTAACATCCTGGTTGTTTCCTCTGGTGCTCCAGTGGACAGACTATATTGTGACTTGTCTCCGTGACAGCACCCCTGCTCCATTTTCCACTTGATAGCATGGTTTAACCCACGATGCTGTGTGCAGTCTGTGCCCTGGCTGAACTGGCACCGATACAGAGATGTGATTGGAGGTTGGTGTTATATGTTAACTTTGCTGATAATGCTCTAAAAAATGCACTGCACTTAAAATAATAGTTAATATTAAAATGTTTTTATTGTGTTGTAGTTTTCAGTCTTGCCTTAAATCGTAGTAACTATACTACATAGTTACCTCTTGGTTTGGCCGTGGCTCCTGTCCTTGGGTTTTGCCCAGCAGTCGGTGGGTTAAGACCGATTCAGACATCATTCATCATGTATGACTTCAATTAGCATTGATCTCCAGGGGGGGAAAAGAAACATCGCAGTGTTATGATATACCATGGAGCAATTTCTGTTCCAGTGATCGAGTGTACGGTTGGATTTCTCAAACCGAGTCGGCCAAACATATTTTGTCTCTGTGCCAATAATCTGGCACTTGTCTAAATTATTGGTCAATAGCCAGTGATCATTTTATACCAGGGTACTGCAGCGTTTATACCAAAGGCAGTTTTAGGCTCTTGGTAACGTGAAATACTGTAGTTATTCAAACAGAGTGCTTTTTAAAATGTAATGTCAATATCACAACATTTGAAATTAACGTACTCTGGACAGAGTCACCCAGTCAGAGAAGTGTTAACTTTAAACTTTAAACTGTTCTCTCTAAAGCATTTTCCAAAAACACAAAAAGATCTAATGTCTGCAGTTTAATAAATCACTTGAACATTTATTGCAAGGGCGAAAAAGGCAGCAGAAATAGAAAAAAAATTAAAAAAATTAATTAAGTAATGGAAAAGTAAGACTCTATGAGGAACATAATTAGCAACAGAAGTATGTGTCCAGATTTGCTTTAAAGGCTATGTCGAGTTTATCATGTGTTGAGGACGATTTTGGGGTTTTAGTGATTAAATAAAAAAAAAGGAAACGCAACATGTTTAATTATGCTCAGATGACTAGAACACAGCCTGAATGTATTTATTATTTTTTATTTACAAAGAAAATGCTTTTTATTACACATATTTATGTGGATAAACCCAAAAACCCACTCAAAACCGTCATTGCATTTTTTTTTTTTTACCTTGCGCACTCCCTAGTGGCAAAATCAGACTTTGGGTTTGAGTTTGTCAGTGGAAACAGTGAAGGTCGTCGTCTCCTTGACCTGTTGTCAATGAACACATTACAGACATCATTACAGTTAATCGTAAAAAATGAGTAGAAACATATATTTTTCTCACTCTTTAAATGCATGTATGTCTAAAATAGCAGACGTTTACGCAGGTGAGAGCACACAGTAAAAAAAAATATACAATACAATTTTATTACTGTAATAATATTTCAATCAACATCAAGAATAAAATAACAAACTCATCATGCTTTATAATCTATAAGTAAAAGTTGTGCTAGTGAAGAAATATAGTTGGACCTTTTTACGCTCCATCATCTTGAGAGTGTGAAACTTTTTAATAACCATATACTTTATGTATAGGTCAGCATTTTTTCCTCCCTAAGACTTGAATGTAAATTTTACTCCATGCAGCCTTGATGCAAGTCCATGAATAAAATTATTAAAATATTTAATTTTTTTTGTTGTCATTTTCCGTAAGAAAACCGACAATCCTCCTCTCAAAATAATTGGTACGGGACAGTTTTTTTTTTTTTTTGGTTTTCTGTTAATTAAAAGAAGTTATTTTAAGGTGGAGCAGGAACCCGGTGTAGCTGCTCAGCATCCACTCGGAGCTGCGTCTGAGACTGTCATTTTCATATTTTTAATTACCTGACTTTCTGGGCACCCGTCTTCCATCAGTGAATGTGTATTTCCTCCATGTATTTGATGTAGTTTATCTCCTCCAACCATTCATATACGACACCAGCAGATCCTGGGACTTAGGGCTTCGTCTCAGGGCCACCTGAGAAGCAGAACTAATTACAACATTTAAATGTCTTTGTGAGTGTGGCCATCAGAGTGTCGATCAACCAAGAAGGAAATGATGTCACATTTCTTAAGATCAGCATGAATAAACGTGTGTTTAGAATATTAGGGAACTCTGACCAGTGATGGATCAACAAAATCCAAGGCTTTGGTGTGAGTTTGTGAAGTCAGGCCTAAATAAGAATAACATTCAGTCGACAACAATAGTGTTTTTTTTTATTATTGTGGTGAGTGAATACCACACAAGAAATCTTCGAGGTGTAGTCTAACTGAAACGACGTTTCAAGCTTCCCGGCGACTCACGACTGTCGGATCAATTAACGTCTTCCTAATTGCTCTGCGTTTGACCTCGGACTGGACAGGAAACACATGGTGGTCAGCTCGTTTAAGTGCTGCTGCTGAAAGTTGGTTTGTCATTTGTCCTGAATGAAGTGCTAACAAGTCTGTATATACTATACTGTCATACCATGGACACTGATGCAGCAGCTGAGCTTCAGAGATAAAGGCTTTTTGCAGCCTGTTGTACAACAGTCTGTCACATTGAACCGTGGAACATGTTAATGTTAATGTCTTTTCTTCTACCTCACAAATGCTAAACAAACTCAGCAATTCTTCAGAAATTAGCACACAGGAGACACCAATTGCTGATATTTTTTTTCTGTTGCACCTGTAAAATAATACGTACATAATAATACTTATATTTTGAGGGAATCTCTGATATTAAAGTCGTGAGCCCATCGGGGAGCAGTGGCTGCAGCTGTGACTGTTTGAAATTGTGTTAAAAACAGATTTAAAGGATAAGATGAGTATTTCCCATCGCGGTCTGGAAATTCTTATGAATGAGTCCCTGCAAAAAAAAAAAAAAAAAAAAATCACATGATTTGTTAAATTGGCTCTGCGTACGATTGGTGCATTCCCAGCTTTCTTAGCCTTTGGTTCTGCTAATCTCCTCTCCTGTCATCCACCCTAACACGAAGCCACCCAGAGTTGAAGCTGCTGTTCTGAACACCAGGAAGTCTCTGTAGCCCGTGGTATAAAGAAACAGTTGAGATGCAGCACATGAGCATGATGGGTATTTGACCTGGCAGCACCCTGTTACCCTTTGACTGATCTGGGCCCTTCAGTTGTAGGGAACAGTTTTGAACCCACGTCCTCCAGCTAACAGAGATCAGAGTTCAAGGCTGTGTTGTAATCACAGATCACATCTTGTTACGCTTGGTGGACACTGAGAGATGCACAAGGCTGTCATTTCATTTACTCTGTAGAGAGGCAGAGGTGTGGTTTTAGACAAAGAAACGAAACCCTGAAATGAAGCGATTCAGAAATCCATTTTTGTCCTATTTTGTTGGTCCCGTTTCAATCGTTGAAATATTAAAATGTTTCCCAATGGCCTTTTCCTTACGACTTTGGCAGTGGCTCTTTAATGTCCACAAACGCTGACATGACGGAATGTTGCACTGTTGTTTGACAAATGAAGTACAAATGGCAAAATATGGGTTTAGAACAAGTCTGGGCCCATAGATTAATGACATTAACGAAGTTTCCATTAGCAGAGCGATCGGTGGAGGCAGAGGCGTCCATGCGTAAATCCACATGACTGAATCA